TTGTTGTTTGATGTTCGTTTGTTTGTTTGTTTTATGTTTGTTTGTTTGTATGTTTGTTTGTATGTTTGTTTGTTTGTTTGTTTGTTTTATGTTTGTTTGTTTGTTTGTTTGTTTGTTTGTTTGTTTGTTTGTTTGTTTGTTTGTTTGTATGTATGTATGTTTGTATGCAAACAAACAATATAAACCAAACCAACGAACATTGAAACAGCATGGCAAAGACACACCAACACAATATTATATTTGACAATGTTCCCTTCAAGTGGCATATTATTCACCCATAAATGAGAACAAACATGATAAGCAAGTAGACACTTACAAACACACACACAAACAAACAAACAAACATACATACATACATAAATATTGATATGTTTTTATTGGACCAAGGATGAAGATGTATAGATAGCTGAATGTTAAGTGAAAATGAATAACTTTATGATAGCTCTTATATGTCTGTATGTATGTGGGTGTGTTTGTGTGTATGTACGTGAGTATATGTTATGTATGGCCTTACTATATGTTTGTATATGCTTGTATTTTATTATATTTGTATATTTAATTAATATTTAATAATAATATTATTAATATTATTATTATATTTGGTGTGCGCGGGTCAGATGCACTGGCCTTCGTGTGTTTACTTTGGGAATGAGTGCTTGCTTCAGGGCGTCCAATCATTTGTTGTTGTTGATGTTGTTGTTGTTGTTGATGTTTTTGTTGTTTACGACGACACTAACTCACAGAAAGGCATTAAAATGTTGAACACGAGTCCTGATGATCCAGCATAGATCAGAATTAAAGACTCCTACCAATCGCATTGCTATGTCTTTCTGTGAACGCCACGTTAAACACACACACACACACACACACACACACACACACACATACACACACACACACACACATACATACACGCGTACGTTCATACACACACACACACACATATACGAACAAAAACACGTGCAAATACATACACACGTTCGTACATATACATATATAGAGAAAAGCATACATGAAATTAAACAAACAGACATTTCTCATTCAAACGCCACCCTGTAAGAAAAGAAGATAGATCAGAAAGAAAGAGAAAGAGAGAGAGAGAGAGAGAGAGGAGGGGACGGCATGACGTGCCGTTGTCCAGTTCAAGAAATGAAAAATTGGACTTTTGTGAATTTGGTGCTGTAGGAGTCAAAAGGTCATATATATATATATATATATCTCTACTTCTCTTTCTCTCTCACTCTCTCTCATTTTCCTCAATGCAGATGGTGGCACAAGAATGGAAACTTCACTGATGACCTCTTCATCACATACACGATGATAATAAAACACAACAGCATCATCTTCATCAGTTCAGAGGTCAAAGTTTAGTAACATTATTTTGCAAACCTGCACTCTACCAAACACTTACAATACAGAACGATAGCAGGTGATGGCAGATGATACGTACAAAAAATGTTCCAGGTGAAAGGACCGGGGAAGCTACATAGAAAGTTTAACGTTGTGACTGCTTGTTTGTCCGTATCGTTAATCAAGTTGCTGGTTTTTTGGCGATGAATGGATGAACGAACCAACGAACGAATGAATGAATGAATGAATGAGTGAGTGATGAATGAGTGATGAATGAATGAATGAATGAATGAACGAATGAGTGATGAATGAATGAATGAATGAATGAATGAACGAATGAGTGATGAATGAATGAATGAATGAATGAATGAATGAATGAATGAATGAATGAATGAATGAATGAATGAATGAATGAATGAATGAATGAATGGCAAAAGTGTGACGTAATAGCCACACGGTATTCCTAATTCAAGGATGAAAGAAATTAGATAGGCAATAATTCCAGCACATTAATTAAAATTCGACATCTTTTTAAAAAAAGAATTTAATCGCATATATTGCAACTACAAATTATTCATTCATTTTTTTCGTTTATTCATTCATTCCCAAACTCACACACACACACATACACACACAGACACAAAATAAATATAACCAGTTATCTATCTGTCAATCATTCAATCTGTCACCTATTGTTTTGTATTCGCGTTTAAACACAAAAACATACACATACACAAACACATACACAAACACAAACAACATAAACAAACACACACAAACGTACTCACTCTCTCTCTCTCTCTCTCTCTCTCTCTCTCTCTCACATACACGCACACACACAAACTTCAATACTTGCCACTTGCCCATAATGTTGAGATTTGAATTCATTAGCCTGCTTGGTTCTTAAGAAATTAATCACACGGTGCTGTTGTCCTTGGTGGATGGCTGGTTGATTTGTTGATCGGTTGGTTGGTTGAGTTGCTGGTTGATAGGTTGGTTGGTTGGTTGGTTGGTTGAGTTGTTGATCGGTCGGTTGGTTGGTTGATTGGGTTGGTTGATCGGTTGGTTGGTTGATCGGTTGGTTGGTTGATCGGTTGATTTGTTGATCGGTCGGTTGATTTGTTGATCGGTCGGTTGGTTGGTTGATTGGTTGATCGGTTGGTTGGTTGATCGGTTGGTTGGTTGATCGGTTGGTTGGTTGGTTGAGTTGTTGGTTGATTGATTGATTGATTGGTTGAGTTGCTGGTTGATTGGTTGGTTGGCTGGTTGGTTCATTCATTTCTACGTTCATATCTCATTTGCTTGCCTTCTGTATGTAGGTTCATATTCGCTTGTTATTCGTTCGTTCGTTCAATCATTGAATCAATCATTCAATCAACCAACCAATCATTCATTCATTCATAATCCACTCATTCATCAGTTCATCCATCCATTCATTCAATCAATCTACACTGACCGAAGTTTGTACACAATATTAAAAATATCCTATATGCGATCA